GTCTAAGGACTTATTTAACATATTTTAGAATGTTCAAGGACTTATTTGTGCCAAAAAATTGTCCAAGGACTTATTTAACATGTTTTGGAAAGTTCAAGGACTTATTTGTTCCAAAAAAAAGTTCAAGGACTTATTTGTTCCAAAAAAAAGTTCAAGGACTTAATCATTCCAAACAAGAAAGTTCATTGGTTTTTATTGTACTTTTCCCTTAAAAATAAAGAATTTAAAGTAAATTAATTAACTAATTATAGGGGTATAAAGTGTAAATTTAAAATTATAATTTTAAAAAAAAATCGGTTGTGAGGGGATGAGTGTATGTGAGGAGAGGAGAGGATGAAAATGTGAAAAAGTAATATAAAGGGTATATTGGTCATTTAGTATTTTAAGACTTTAAGACTTTTGTTAAATTTGCTTTATAAGATAGTATAGATATTATAATTCATCAAGACCATCACATGTGATGCTAAATCATAAACGCAGACAACCTTTGGTGCGACCTAAGTCGTAGAACACGTCATCCGCACATCACAGGGTCCCCTCACATGTATTATCACATGTGATAAGAGTGTTCTCCGTATTCTCGTTTGAACCTCCATCTATACACATATATATATATATATATATATAATATAATAATGAAATAAATGAAATAATATTTATAAATTATTAAATTACTGATTTTAAAATTTAATTTCTTTTACTATGTGTACACATTCAATCGATCTTGTCTAGCTTTCTTTTCCACATACCAAATTAAGGATGCTACAATATTCATTTTTATAGTCCTTAGCGGTAGTATCACTTTATACACAAGACTAAACAAGAAACCTGCTGCCATGGCCGCTCCTCTCCTTCATTCCAGTAAACCATTATCCAACACATGGCTAAACCGTATTTTCATACTCATCTTCGCCGGCGCCGTTTCTATTCACCTTCTCCGCCGCTGCCGTAACCTAATCTACTCTCCCACTCCAATCTCCACCGCTCTGTTTGTAGCCGACTTTGTGCTAGCTTTCATGTGGTTAACCTGCCAATCCTTTCATTGGAAGCCAATCCGTCGTCGCGTTTTTCCGGAGAACCTGCAACAAGTGGTGGCGGAGAGAGAGTATCCGGCGTTGGACGTGTTTATTTGTACGGCGGATCCAAAGAAGGAGCCACCGATTGGAGTGGTGAACACGGTGATGTCAGTGTTGGCGTTTGAATACCCACCGGAGAAAATGTCAGTGTACATATCGGACGACGGAGGATCGGAAGTGGCGTTGTATGCGTTCATGGAGGGTGCTGGTTTTGCGAAGCAGTGGATACCGTACTGCAAGAAGCATAAGATTGTGGATAGGTCACCGGAAGTGTATTTTGGAAGTGATCCTGCTTGGTTTCCTGACACGGATGAAATCAAGGTGACTAATTGTTTTCGCGCAAAATCTTTATGCAAATTTGTCTAGAGATTTATTTTTAAATTTGAAAGGGAAAAATCTAAAAAAATCTAATGAATTTTAGTGTTTGAAATGATTAAGTTTTTGGACAATTTTTTGGAACAAATAAGTTCTTGGACATTCCAAAACATGTTAAATAACTCATTGGACAATTTTTTGGAACAAATAAGTCCTTCGACAATTTAAAACATGTTAAATAACTCAGTGGACAATTTTTGGAACAAATAAGTCATTGGACAATCCAAAACATGTTAATTAACTCCTTGGACTTTTCTAAAACCTGTTGGATACATTCTTATGGTTAAAGTGGTAAAATAGTGACAAAAATCCGGAAAAAACCTCAATGAATATTCATATTTTGAACGATTAAGTCCCTAAATATTTTTTGAACCAAAATGTATTTAAATCTATAAAATTAAACAAATATAACAAAAAAAATAATTACATTAAATTTTTTTAACAAAATTTATTTTAATTAAAATTAAAATATATTTTGTCAGTAATTTTTCAAAAAAAATTAAAAAAATTAAAGGCGGCCGGATCCG